ATATATATATAATTAATTTCAGAGAGGGAGGGAGAGAGAGATAGAAACATCAATGATGAGAGAGAATCATTGATTGGCTGCTTCCTGCATGACCCCTACTGGGGATCAAGTCTGAAACCTGGGCATGTGCCCTTGACCAGAATCGAACCCGAGACCCTTCAGTCCGCAGGCCAACGCTCTATCCACTGAGCCTAACCGGCTAGGGCTCCTCTATCTTTTATCTTGGTTCTTTTTGCTTTCTCTCTATGGGTCAAATATCTGTCTTTGGTTTCTGGGTTCCATTTCCACCTTTATATGCTGAGTGACCTTGGGCAAGTATCTTTACTATTCTGTAAAATGGGGATAATAAGAGCATCTATGTCAGAAAGGTGTTGTGGGGGTTAAGTGAGTTAACACTTGGGGCAGAGTGCCTGCACATTAGTGGCCATGTCCTGATGGCTCCTTTTTAATATGCTATGAACATCACAAGTTCTGATTATCTAATGATTATAGCTGGCGCTTATAAAACGCTGACAAGTGTCAGTCCCTGTTCTAGAAACATTAATTCATTTGATCCCACAACTCCCTACAAAGTAGGAACTATTTTACTCTCCATTTTACAAATGAGGAAACAGCCCGAGAGATTGAGTGACTTGCTCAGGGTTGCCCAGCGGGAAGAGGCAGAGCTGGCTTCAACCATAGTTCACCACTGATCGTCCTGTTACAATGTCTGACCCTTGACTGGGATGGAGGTTGAGTTGATATACTAGTATGTACCCTTTGCCCTTCATGTCCAGCCAATGGGGGCTATAGCATTGCCCCTGGGCTGTCTGGGCCTGATTTTTCCGGTGTTATCTATCTCTGTCCCTCCTCCCCTACTGACCCCTCCTCCTCCTGCCACCACCCACCTCAGACTTCCTCCTTCACTTGGTTGGCCACATCCCACTGGCCCTTGGACTGTAGTATCCAGCAGTGTCGCCTGCATCATGGGGGGCCTTAGACCCTTCAACAGGCTTCTGTTCCTGCCTCTCCTTCTGACTGTGGGTGGTGAGTTGGGGGCTTCTGAAGCTGCCTCCTGAGTCTCTGGGCTCACCTTGGGGCAAGGCAGGGAACAGGGTGGAAAGAGAACCAAAGGGGAAGGTTGGGATAGGAGCAGGTCCCCAGCCCCCAAAACCCTATGGGTCTCTCCCAGAACCTGAAACTCCAATATTTGGCCTCCAGTAGAAGCGGAGGGAGGGGACTCTACGGGTGGTGTAATAGGACAAGTCAGTGTGGAAGTAACACAGTCCAGTGGCCTTTGTGTCAGCCACAGGTCCTACCAGAAGTTGCTCTCTACCCTCGCCCCCTGGCTGTCAGGACCCACCCTCCCCAGCTTCTATGCCCACCCTCCAGTCATAGCTCCACACCTAGTTTACCTTCTTTTTCTTTCTTCAGGTCTCAGCCCTGTCCAGTCCCACTGCGGTAGGCCTAGACCCTGAAATACCCCTCCCTATTTCTGAAAGACCTCCCCATTTCTTCCCAATCTCTTCAAACCTCTCCCCTGACATCTCCCAATTCCCGACTCCCATTGATCTCCCCTGACTCCTGTGCCATATACATTCCCAGAATGCAACTGCTCTGCGATGAGCCCTGGTGTGCTGGCCGGTATTGTGCTGGGGGACCTGGTACTTACCCTCCTCATCGCCCTGGCTGTATACTCTCTGGGCCGGCTGGTCCCTCGGGGGCGAGGGGCTGTGGAGGGTGAGTGGGATTGGATGGGGATGGGACTCTCTGAGGACTTGCCTAGAGGGGAGGGGTAAGCTCCCAAGTCACAATCATCCAAGGGGATGGTGATGGTTTCGCATCAACTAAATAATCCCAATTTACCCCCTTGTGTGCCCCTGCACCTGTGCCACTCCCACCCCCAGCAGTGACCCGGAAACAGCGCATCACTGAGACAGAGTCACCTTATCAGGTGAGGAAACCAGCTTCTCTTCCTTCTGTCTCATTCCTGCCCTGTGATGCCTGCCTTTTGGGGCCATAGACCCTCCCTCTGTCACTGTGAGCCCTAGTCTATGAAATCTGTTTTATTTGTCCACAACCAGCTTTGCTTTGCCTCACTTGTGATGAAAAGTCTCTTTCTAAAGTGTAAGATCTTGAGTCTAGCTCTGTGAGGTCCATAAGACTGAAGGAGCTTTCCAGTTACTGGGAGCAGTGAAATATTAGGGCAAAGCATCGCTCCACTTTACTTGTTGAGCACCCACATGTACCAGATACTGAAGACATAGCTGCAGAGCTTACATCCTAGTTGGGTAAACAGAATTGAAGCAAATTAACAAATAAGATCATCTGGGGGGGGGGGGGGGGAAGAAACTACAGATGAAGAAATCAAGAAATGCCTTTCTGAGGAAGTGACATGAGCTAAGACTTGAAGGGAAGGATGGAACCATCCATGGGAATATTTAGGGGACCAGTATTCCAAGCAGAGAGAACAGTATGTGCAAAAGCTCTGAGGCTGGGGCCTAATGATGAGGCAGAGGAGAAAGGGGAACTTCGAAGGCACCTGAATAAAATAGATTTCTAACATGGCTGCAAGGTTGAAGAAGTTACCAGGGGCCTTGCAGGCCACTGGGAGAAGGTTGGATTTTGTTTTAAGTTTATTTGGCAGACCCATTCCACTGATGGTTGCCACCCTGTCCATCCCTTTAGGAGCTCCAAGGTCAGAGATCGGATGTCTACAGTGACCTCAACACACAGAGGCAGTATTACAAATGAGCCCAAACCATGGCAGTCAACAACCCAATGCCTGGATCCAGCCATTCCTGATGTCTACCCAGCACCCTATTCCTACTCCCACCAAGTACAGATCTACAGAGTGGCCTCTCTGAGATATCAGACTTTCCCTGCCCCCTGCTCCCAAATAAACATGGAACACAAAACACTGTTGAGTTATTGCATATCTCTGGGCTGAGGGGATGGGGATATTTGGGGTTCTGGGAGGGTCGGTCATAGACCCAGAAACAGCTAAATGGGAGGGAGGCTTTGGGGACCCTGGTTCTTTGAGGAAGAATTAGAAGTAGAGGCATTTCAGTCGCTTTATTGAATAGGTTTCCTGTGCCACCACACACAATCCAGGATGAGAGGGTCAGAAGTCAGAGGTCCCAGTTACAGGGGGTCAGCCCCTGCCAGGCATGTTGATGTAGACCTTGCCATCTTCTGGGGGTGGGGAAAAGAAAGCATGAGGCCTGACCACCCACCACCCACCCACATCTCCACCTCCCCAGGGACCTCCTGCTTCAGGGGTTTCCTCAGGAGTTCCCCCAGCAGGGCCCCCAGGGTTTCCCCAGCAGCACCTCCAGGGCTTCCCCCAGGGGACCCCTCCATGGGGACCTCTTCCCTAGGGACACCACCCCCAGTCCAGGCCCTGCCTTCACCTTGGGTGGGCCTGTCACGTGGGCTGGCACACATAAACACCACCACCACTATCAGCAGAGACACCACAGCATCAGCAGCCACAAGGCCTGCCAGAAGTGGCAGAGGGAGGGGCCCACATCCGGAATAGGAACCTGGAGGGTGGAGGCCAAAACAAAAAGGTGGCTGAGGGGGATTCCAGGCTTTCAGGGCTGTGCTGTGCGCATATGGGCAGAAGAAGTCCCTGATGGGTGACCAATTCCCTGGAGTTGCACTTGAGGGATGAAAAGGGAGATGGAGATCCAGAGAGAGTCTTGGGTATTCAAGCATAGTGAGACATGTGCTGGGCTTTGGGCATAGTGGGCACTCCTGAAGAGAGGCTGGGGGTTGGCCAAGTCCCTGGGGCTTCAATTTGCTACAGTGAGATGGGGATCTGGAGAGCCACTGGGGGTATTCCAGGATCCTCAAGCTATACTTTAGGGATGAAAACAGTACCTGAAGTAGCATGGCAAAGAGGAAGGAGTTTTGATATCTCACCTGGAGTTACCTGAGCTGCAGCCACTGTGGGAAGAGAGAGAACATAATCAGTGGGAAAGGTGGTTCCCAAAATAGGTGCAGGGAAAGGTGATGTGCTGAGAAGTAAGCTCCACTCCAAAAGAGCAAATGAGAAAGAGCGGCCAAAAGGTAGGGGAGCTCCCAGAAAAGCAGAGACAGGAAATCAGCAGAGATCCAGCAGTGAGAAGGGGAGATGAATAGGTAGGCAGTCCAGACCTCAGCTTCCCTCCCCAAAGAACCAGGCCCAGAAGCCAAATGGATCTCCCGGAAAAGAAGGGGCACTGGGAGAAGGATCTGCCCTCAGCACCCCTCCCTTCAGACGCCACCCAAGCCACCCCTTTCACAAATATCTGCCTGCCACTCCCCCACCCCCACCCGATAACTGCTGGCTTCACCTGGGAGCAAAAGCAGGAGCAGGATGTTGCCTGGAGGGAGCATGGTGGGTTGGGGGCTGGAAGGGATTTGGTCCAGAGAGGTTCTGAGGAAGAGTGGGGGAGTAGAGAGGCAGCAAAAGCGGATGTCACCCTGCTGGTAGCAAGGCTAACTGCTTCCTGTGGGGGTGGGGGAGGGGGAGAGATGACGGGTCCCTCTGACTGCCTTTGGGGACCAACTGGGGGAAGGGACAGAGACTAGGGAAGTTGCTATGATTGTTCAGGTGGGAGGTAACAGGTGGGCCAGGGTGTGGGTGGGCACTGGGGAGACTCTGGAAAGATTTGGGGGGTAGAGCCAACAAAACTTGTTGATGGAGTAGATAAGGTTTTGTGTGTGTGTGTGTGTGTGTGTGTGTGTGTGTGTGTGAGAAAGAGATCCAGGATGACCAAAGCTTACGGCTTAAGCGACTAAAAAAAGATGGAGCATCCTTAGACAGGATGGCGGAGGGGAAGCAGTTATGGGGCAGGGGGAAGGGAAGTGCTGGAGGTTTGGGCACACTGAGTCGGGAATGCCTGATAGATTTTTCTGTGGAGAAGTTGAGTGACCACAGCTAAATCTCATCTGGAGATGTAAATTTGGGGGTTGCTGGCTTATGGATGGTATTTAAAGTCACCAGATTGGATGAGATTGCCAAGGAAGTGAGTACACATGGAGACCCCCCCCCCCATCTCCCCCATCCCTTCAAAAATGCTGAAGCGGAAGAAACAGCCAGGGAAACTGAGGAGCAGCAAATGAAGGAGAACCACTAGGAGAGCATGAGAGCAGGGGAGACATGCGATTAACATTGTCCATCGGTGTGTGGACAATCACGGAGCTGGGAACTGAGAACAGCCCCTCCCTGGAGTGTCAGCCAGCTTGAGGGCGGGAATTCCTGCCTGCTTAGGTCACAGCTAGAACACAGCACCCAGCAAAGTGCTTCCCCTGCGGTAATACATTATTTTAAATGAATGTATGAGAACTGACCTCTGAAAAAGGTGGTGATGTGGGGGACAGGGAGAAATTTAGTCTACCCTTATCACTCTTACCTGGAGGCCGGGAAGTCCGGACCCCCAGGCCTCTCCTCCCCCAGGACCCAGTCCGATAGCCCCCACCCCCCAGCCTAGGGGTCAGGTCTCCAGCACCCCCTGGGCAGAGACGAGAACCCAGGCCTCCAGGGCCCTCCTGCTGCAGGAGTCCAGAATCCCAGGCCCTTTTTGCTCAGACCAAGGTAGGGAGCCCCGCTCTCTGGACCCCGTGGGGTCGGGGCTCAAGGTCAGCCCAGCCCCTTCAGGGCCTGTGTTTGCTGGAGCGAGACGCGGGGACTCCCGGGCTGGGGGCGGGGCCGCCCCGACGGGCGGGGCCAGACCCCATTTAAACACTCGCGGCGAACAGGACCCACGATCGGCAGAGGTAACAGGGGGTGGGCGTGCGGCCCGCTCGGCATGGAGCAGTGAGGGCTGGGAGTGCCCAGAGTTTGGAGGGGAGGCTGGGCTCGGATTCCGGGTTCGAGATAGAGGAGCGCTTGCGCTTCTGGACTCCTGGCTGGGGGGTGAGGGGACTGGGGTCAGG